ATAAACAAACTTTGTAATCAAGCAGTATTACCATTTAGATTGTAATGACGAGAAAATCAATGTCCCAATAACCACAGAATTGTTTAAGCCACAGAAAACTGCCTTTCGAACAAGTGCACCCTCAAAGAAATAAAAAATAAAAAAATAACGAATCAACCAAAAAAATAATTTTATTTGAACCTTTATAACCGATATTACTACTAAACCGAGATGCATATAAACCAGTTGAACGAGTTTTCCCCGGCTAAAATAATTCCACAATAGCAGCATAATGGAAATTCTATATCAGAACCTTTGTTTGAAGTACAAAGCACGGGTTATTACTTCAGTTTCTATAGTCAATGTTCAGTATAGAAATGCACTATAAAAGCAAATCACAACATAAAAAAATAACTTTTTAAAAGAAATAACAAGTAAAATTTGAAATCTTCGAGTAACCTAAATATTATCAAAAAAAAAAGATCCAGGAAAAACAGCCCAAGCGCCAATAATAAAAGAAGAGAGACCTTTACAGAAGAAAATTTCAAATACTGCCGTTGCTTACCTTTTGAAATAAAAGTATACAAATCCAACAATAAAAATGACCAGAATTTATTCAAACATACACTTTAACATCTTTTTTTCTTTTTAAACATATATCGACAGCATGAAATAAATAAATGTCAATAAATAAAGAAATAAATAAATAAACAAGTAAACAAATGAATAAACAATTACCAACCTGAAAAATCAAAGCTTAAAAGAAAGTTAACGATACAGGATACTACCTGCTCATTTGCTGTAATAAACTCTATAATAAAGTGTTTTTGAACGCCAAAGAGAATATGAATTGTCAAATTTGAGCAGATAAACTCCTCGACCGGGATACAGATGACTTCCTGCGTAGACCTAAAATTAATCCATACCAACTGTCGAAATAAAACACTAGAACCATAGAAGGCCTGGGAACATTTACTATAGTTTAAAGTGCATAACATGCTACTTTATCAATCTTCAGTGTCGAACTTAATAATTTTTACAAAAGATCAATGCATTCTCAAAAACAAAAAAAAATTCACTATGATGCTAAGCACAAATAACTATAAAGAACTCAGTGTTTTGCCAGATATTTAAGTAAGACTACCTCTTCGTGGCAATCCCTCCTGTAAACCGGTACAATTTCGTCAACGTGAGGCTTATTTAAGTCTTTTGACTTCTCTCTCGTTCGATTTCCGCTTTCAATATCGCCTTCACCACTTACACCACCTTGCACAAGCTCTTCTTCAGCTTCTTCATCTGACGACTCCGATATATGTACAGACACCTAAAAAGAGCTGCTTTTTCTCGTAAATTATATAGCCAGTATCACTAACAATCAAAGATAACAAAATTTCACAAAACCACCAAACCTGATTAGAATCAGCAATCGTCCATTCAAAAAATACACCAAACCCTATATCATAATTATCAGTTGCAAACTCCCAGAACAGACACGTGCCTTCCTCATGTGTCGGCACTCTAACCTGAAAATAACTACACAATTATATACATTGGATTTTGCCAACAGTAATCTTAATGAGTCGTTAGACTGACAATTATCATCATTTAAAAAGGTGAGAAAAAAAATAAATGTTACCAAGTACACTAACAATAAAGATATATGTTAAAAAAACAAAAGTCTTTCCTTACTTTGTTCCTAACACCTCAATTTGTCTACAGATAAAAACGTCCATCTCTAAAGCCTCGCATCACAAGAGTTAAAATTGTAGTTAAAAAAGAAAACTTTGTCGCAATAGCTGCAAGCACTTTTCTAATTTCATTAACGCCAAAAAGACAAAAACTTTCGCAGAAAAACTAACAAAGAAAAGTAAATCCTTTCGTTCTGCTATTATGCTACAGAAGCATTTATATTAAAACAATTAAAGGTAAAAAATCAACCCATCTGATTATCTATACCCCGCGAAGATTACATGTTGAAAATGTTTCTATCAGAGCACTTAACTTTTTAACCAATAACAAACCAATTACAAAGTTAACAGTTTCCAGAGGAAAATTCTTCAGTGCACTAAAAAATTAACAGTACCAGTTTAGCCAAATCAGAGCTTAAAAAAATGCCACAGTATCTCGAGTGTTTAGAAAAACTCAAAAGAAGAAAATTTTATCTACAACAATCTGTAATTTAAACACAGAAAACTCAAAATCATAGATTTTTAACTGCCTACCAAAGCAGCAAGAAAACATCTAAAAAGACGGAAACTCCTGAAAAATTTGAAAAAAACCCACCGTAACGGTCTCTCCATGCCCAACTTTTATGATCCCCTCAGCCCCTTCTTTACGAATAGTGTTTTTGAATTCAACAATATCCTGTCGATTCCACATAGAAGCCGGCGCTATAGCTGGATTCGCTAAAAAAAAAATCCAAAATTACCCATTGAATGTTTGAAAAAATATCTTTAATTCTGGCCATAAGTCTGCATCATCACATCATGACAAGCACATTTTCTATATCCTGCTACTTTTATGCCATTAAGGGAGCAAAAATTGTTTTTTAATGTAAAAAGAGGAATGCAGGAAACATAGGCAGTAGGTTAATACAACAAGCATGCCGTAGTTCAGCAATCGGCTTAAGTTACACAACTTCTTCCTGGCGATAAGCTACAGCCGTATCGCCTTTTTAAGCGTCATCTCCGACAGTGCCACAGAATAAAAGCCCAAAGATGAAATTGAAATATATGTTTATTCCTAAACTAATATCGAAAAAAAAATCAAAAAATTTTGTTGCTGAAAACAAGAAACTACAAGCAGAACCACCCTAGACAAACTCACAAATATTTATTTACATTTTATCGAGGCCTACGTAACATCTGAACAATTCTGAATTTCAAAAGAGATGTTTTATAAAGCATAAAACATTCTATTTCTTCAAACCACCAATGAAACACCATAAATCCAACTGTTGAACAATAATTTTGGAAGAGTTAAACATCTTTAAAAATTCTTAAACTTCCTCATTCTCGCCTTTAGCTCGGTATATCCTGTTTCAGTCAGATTTCCATTAAAGCATTCCAGGTGCAACCATGCAGCATAAGCTTTATTTGTTTTTTCTTTTCTAAAACGTACCCAAGAATGCAATAAACAAAACTTAACCAGAACTCATTTTTCAAAAACAATCTCATAAATACAAAATCCATATAGTAAACCATTCTTTGGACAGAACAAAAACCTCAAATAGCAACACTGATATCTGTTGGCTGACAAAATTTCTTATCAATAAAACTATCCTTTTCTCAAAATTTTAGCATAAAAAAATTTCACAGTCAAAAATATTTTTCCAAAACTAGCTGTAACACATAAATCCATAATACTTGTTGAAAACCATATCTACAAAACAACCGTGACGGTTTTCATAAGTTGACATTGTAGGTCTGCTTGATTATTGAAATTTCAATTTGTTTCAGGCCAACTGGAACCTCTACAAATTTCTCCACACCTTAACAACCTGACACATGCACAACCATAACCAGTTGTTTAAACTAGCAACTCATTTGAATCAACATATCTTCACCAATAATCTTCTGCATTAAACGCAAAAAATTAAAGTGAAGAATA